GGATTGGTCCGGATTGTGTGTTGCGACGATCCTGGACCTGCCACTCTGCATCATTCTATCTTTTGGATTGGTCCGGATTGTGTGTTGCGACGATCCTGGACCTGCCATTCTGCATCATTCTATCTTTTGGATGATTCTCTACAAATGCACAAATCAGAAATCAATCGATAACATACATTTTATACTTATGGCACGAAGTTGGTAGGAAGCAATCCAGATAAATGTCACATGACTATACAGGCACTCTCCACACCTTGTGCATGTCAATTAGTCCACATCACACTTTGTGGTAATGATCAATTCACACCACACCATTCTTCACAATTATTATGAATTATGGACAAAATTGTATAGAGAGAAACTATCTACACCCATATGGGTAAGAATTGCAATGGGGTAGAGCGGGACTGGGTTTTGCCTGTCCTATACCTTACCCCAAATTGGAATTCCCCGCCCCGTCCCTGCCTCCATGACTTTGCCCTGCCCCGCCCCGGTTATTCTTACTTGTATACTTATAAATTTATTTATTTTTTTGAAACCTACCTAGAACTATTTTATATTATGTAATATAATATACATTAACATATATTAACAATTTTATATGTATTATGTTATATAATATAGTCAGGGCAGGGTGGACAAATACTGTCCCCGACCCCTAGAGTTTTGGGTTTTCCCCAAACTCGCCCCAAACCTCGAATTGTGGTAAAAAAAACCCGCCCCAACTGGGCTGGAGCCCCACAGGGACGGATCAAATTGCCATCTCTACACATGGGCATTCTACAAGTACCACACTTATTGATTCTATACATCTCACGTACAATTTGTGACATACATGGTTGATTATTGATGAATGCAGATTTGACCATCCATTGACATTATGACACATGGCATCTTAGAACAGTTGGATGACACCCCGACATCACCTAGGCGATGATTGGCCTTAGCCAAAATGATGGAGTCCCAACTGGCGACTTCCTTGCCTTTGTCGTCGACTTGGAAACCTGCCTTTGCCGCTGACCTGGCGACTTGCCTCCGCCGCCGACCTAACAACCTGCCTCTACCGACTTGGAGACCTACCTTTGCCATCGACTTAGCAACTTACCTCCGCCGCCGACCTAGCGACCTACCCCCGTTGACCTGGCGACCTCATCTACAACTCAGGCACCGTGACGTACACGGCTAGCATCACCTCATCCAGGGCCGACCTGTGGTACCTCGTCAATACTGATTGGAGTGACCTTGACGTGAGGAGAGACCTCCCTCGAGGACTTGCCAACCTGATTGAGGTCCAGTAGCAACCTGCGAGACGTGCTCGCCGACCAACTTTGCATGCATCCCATCACTCCCGGGACTCTCGGAAGTCAGTTCTCACATTGAATGTTTTAGAGGAAACCGAGTAAAGTGCAAAGATTGGCCTATGTGCACGACTACCTCCGAAGACTTTGGACCAGTTAGGCACGTCTTCCCAGGGATCTTGGATACGGTGCATGATGCCCATGCCAAACAATGCCTATACAAAGGCCTTACCTCCAACCTCAGAAAGTAGATGCGCAATTTAGCTCTCACAACTCTCTATCTTGTTTTTAGCTCTCTTAAAAAATCTCCAACTCATTGACTTAAGCATCAAAGTGCCCACCCCGAGTAAAGCAACTCGGGCACTCTGACACTGGTTCTTTGCAAGTCGCCCTAATAAGCTATATAGCTCGTCACCATTCAGCTAGGCATTCGAGCCACCTTCTAGCTAGGAACCATTCAGCTAGGCGTTCAAGACACCTTCCAAGTAGGAACCATTTAGGTAGGCATCCGAGCCACCTTTCAGCTACGAACCATTTAGTTAGGTGTCCAAGCCACATTCCAAGTAGGGACTGTTCAACTAGGCATCCAAGCCACATTCTAGGTAGGGATTGTTAAGCTAGGCATCTGAGCCACATTCCAGTTAGGGATTGTTCAGTTAGGCATCCGAGTTACCTGCCAGCCGGGAGCTACCAAAACGCACATCATCAATTATGAATAATCATAATTTAATCCAAAAATAATTTGAAATAATAATGGATAAATAAATATAAAATAAATATATTTGTCATTTATGTCAATTATTAGAAGATAAAATGTATATTATGTGAATTTATATAATAGTATAAAACCACTTTGTTGGATAAAAATGGTGATAAAAATAATTAAAAACAGTTCAATGTTTAGAAAAATTATGATAATATTATCTTCAGCAATAAATAATTTAATTATAAATAAAAATATGTTAAAAGATCACAAAAATGAGGGTGATTAAGCTGGTGCAACACAATTGCATTACACTGAATTCTTCTCACAAACTGTCCACACCATGGTGTGACCCATCCATGATAAAATGCGGTTGCCGATAAACAGAAATGTGGTTTGTCCTTGTCCTGTTGTCCACGCTATTTTGTGGGCAGGCACGGTCCACATGAAACCAAACACCCCATTCTGTGATGGACAACAGTATCAAACACCCCCATTAGTTTCCTTTCCCTTCCTTTCGGATATTGGTGGAGGTCCAGGTAATTTTTATAGATGATTTAATGTCCAGTTTGCTTAACCTTCTTTTGTTGTTGTTTTGCATTTGTTCAGTCGGGCTTTACTCGCTGTATATAATTAGAAGAGTGATACCTGACATTTTGGCACAAGCTATGGCCTCGGACTCAAATTTTCGTTGATGTTGAACAGTAGAGCGAAGCATTTGAGCTCTTAGCGAGAAGATTGATGGACTACACCTACACCTGATTGATAAGAAAATGCAAAAGATATAACCATATTTCATTTTCTAGTTCTTTTATCTTTTGATTTTAATTTATAAAATAAACTTAGTCATCAAATAAACACTGGCCTTTGGTTGGTACTTGGTAGCAGTATGAACAAAACCCCTTGGATAAGGGAAAGCAGAAAGCTTTCTTGGGTAGCAAGTGATACAGACGTTGTAAAACGGAAATTCCTTAACCGGGGAATGGGGATATGCTTAAACTAATCTCATCCAAATCAGAAAGTAAACACATTCATACCAAAACCCCGGATTCAAGTTTTGGATTTGGATAGCTGGGTGCCCCCCAAAAGCCAAGGTTGGGGTTGGAGCCAAATAAATAATTAAAGAATGTAAAATACGTAAAGCATATTTGAATGTGATTCTGTCAGTCAGGGGACTGAATTGCCCCCATCGGTGAAGAAGACAAAACATCGGAATTTTCAATTATATAAAGCTGGTGGAGTTGAGCAATCGATGTCTATTCAGTATCCACTGTTTCATGTTTGTTATAGCATGAAGATGAATCTTCTTTTTTTACAAAATTATTTATTCCTAATTTAATTACCAGTAACTCATTTGATAGTTGTTACTCGTGGTCATGACTCATGACTGGCCTCATCCTTATCCAGTCATTCTGAATTCAAAATATCAATATGCCGGTAGGGGCGTATTGGACAATATCGACACTTTTTTTTTTGAAATCGGTTCAGATGCGTCGGTTTAGGGCTCCTCCACCCCTGAACCGGTCAGAACTCTGATACACCCATTATAAAAGCATATTGGAAAGGTCCCGAAATGATACGTATCAGCCAATACCTATTGATACTTTGAACCTTGGAAACAGGTGAGGATGGCTATGCCATTCTTAATTTCTCCCAATTCCACATAGACCAAAATACAATGTGACTAGTCCCTATGAGTTTTGGTCAAATACTAACAACTCCCTTGGCTTTCACCTAGCATTTAATGTTTCATTCTACCCTTTTTAGGTAAAAAAATTATTATTCTAGGGATAAATAGACTGCACTCCATTCAGAAATCTGAAATTACAGCCCTCTCATAGTCTATTAGTAGCCCCCCTATAAAGTATAAACCACATCCTGCCTGTAAATTTGGCATCCATCCACATTCAGGATTCATCCCACCTCTACGGTGGGGTTAAGATTTCTGAGGTGGACTGAACAATAAAAAGAGTTCGGATCTCTTATCCACGAGAACCCTGTCCACGTCTACACACAACACACTATCCCCGTGATTTGGGAATATCTCCCCCTGCATAATACTATGTAGAGGATGAAATGTTCTATGTGTGGCTGCGATAAACGTGGGCAGGTGGAATCCGGATCTTCTACCCACGAGAACCCTGCTCACATCTACCCACAGCACACTACCCTCCGTGAATTGGGAACATCTCCCCCTACATAATACTATGCAGAGGATGAGATATTCTCCATATGTGGCTGCAATTAACAGCAGAAGATCTGAACTCCAATAAGAGTTCGGATCTCCTGCCCACGTCTACCCACAACACACTACCCCCGTGAATTAGGAACATCTCCCCCTAGATAATACTATGCAGAGGATGAGATGTTCTCCATGTATGGCTACGATAAACGTGGGCAGAAACAATTATTTTCACCATGCATATATGGAATGGAACAATTATTTTCACATAAAATATATATTTAAAATAAATAAATCCGCAGCCAGTGTTCATAAATAAGTGTGCTTGTATAAATTATCACCAAACAGAAAAATAAAACTATAACTTTACCAGTAATGGTTGGCAGTCAAAGAGGGTATAAGTTGTTAGGTAAAGTCGAGGGTAGATACATCAAACACATGTACCAGTAATTCAGTAGTATTTTATTTTATTACTTCAAAGTTCAGAACTCAGATCCAGTCCAGACCAGCCTACCGTCGACACTCGACAGATAAGGCTCAATTAATGCGCGTCCAGGGTAATAATATATGCGCTCTCTCTCTCTTTCTCTCTCTGACAATGATACCTCCCAGTTAAACCTTCAAGAGATCCTATTTTATATACATTTTCGCATGACCAAACAAAACTCGTTACTGACTTCCCATGTTAATTTAAACAAAAAAAAAATCGCATTTGGATGTAGATCAAGTATCAAAAGAGTGGCAGTAGCATGGGCGCATGGCAAATTGGCAATAACATGCCCCATACAGAACAAAATACAAGACCGAGAGTGGTGGGTAGAGCTAAACTTGTTTCCCTACTTCAGAGTTCAAACTTAACAAAGTTCATTTCATCCATTTGGATTTACAGGGAATTAGAAATAATAAGATTAACAAATTTATTCTGATGCATGCTGTAATACTAAAATGGCCGGATCGTTACACTTACACCATTTCCGCTTACCACTTGACCAATATAAAGAAAAGGAAAAATGGAAGGTAGAAGAAGAGATAAATAGTCCACCAATCCCCCAGCCTCCACCCTCTCGGTCTCTCCCCCAATAGAGATATTGGGCGAGGTGAGGTGGCGAGCATTACTTGATTACACCAATTCAGAACTGAGGACCAATCACCCATTCACCAGTCCCAGAGATCACACTGATGGGAAGAACTTATTGAGGTTAAAGGGCAGGGAATAGAATTCCTCACTTCTTGTATCCGTCTTGAAGGACCGGAATTTGTCCCACCAATGCAACCCCCTGTCCTTCCTGGTTGAACTGTCCTTGTGCATTGTGATGTCCAAGAACAATGCCAACAACCCCGCTACAAATGCTTCCGATGAGAAGGGCACATTAATCATGTCGTTGAACTGCAAAATGAGGCACATTTTGTTAAGTGGATCCACTACCAACTACCAAGTACCAAGTCCCAAGCCAGCATGTGAATCAATTAACTGATTTCAGATTAAGAAACATAAGATGAGGTGTTTCTATGTTCTGTCATACCCATCTAGCTCCTGTGTGAACTGGGCCATAACCATTTACTGCTGTGTACTCGTTGAAGTATTGAGGCACCGACAAACCCAAGAAAACAGAAAAACCTAATATGAACTTCGTTCTAAAGCTGTTGAGATTGCAGAACTGCAGGAAGCTTAAACCTACTGAACCTGCTCATGACAAAATATAACCATGACATTAGTTAATCTCATCTAAACAAATTTATCCCATGAGAACAAAGGGTGCCAAGTTTTCTCAACACAACGTACCCGCATAAGCAAAGAACACACAATAGAAGGCTGCAATGATTGGTGCAGGAATTGAAGCAAACACTGCTCCAAATTTTCCTACATAGAACCTGCTGTCAGAACTCAAACACTTCTAAAATTGCAGAAAATGATGATTATTTGCGAGTGCAAGGCTAACTCTAACTTACCAAGCACTGAAAAGAATAGCATAAATCCAGCCGATATTTGGATCACCCTTCTGCTACCAACACGTGTCAAAGCTAACAAACCAGCATTCTCACTGCAGAAGACAGTGGATTCCTCATGTCTGTCAGAAAATTTTATATAAAAAGTACAACGCTCATAAAGCACAAAAGTTTTCCTCAAATCTTACGGAGACACAGAAGATCCATTTACAGTTCCAAATATGCCAGAGAAGAGAATTCCAACGCCCTGAATCAGAAAGAAACCAACTCAGCCAACAAGTACAATATCCAACTATAGTTAAATCATGAACGATTGGCTGCACCATGCATCATGGAAGTTCATGTTGCCTTCTGATATTGTACACGTCACCACAAGCAGCACAATCAGTGAAAACCTCTTTGATTGATTATAGCCTATTTTATTGTTACAGACAATGCATGAAATCTCCTAATATCAATGAAAAGATTTACTTGCCATCTGGATATTATATACAGATTGTTCCAGTTTGATGAAGGATTTACTAGTATGATTATTTGGGAATGGCAACTGACAAGATTAATGAATGAACTGCTCATATGAAAGGTATAGGGAAAAAGTTTCACTGGATCTGTTCTACTAGATGCTTCACGTTCTTTACATCCTGCTTTTTTTATCAATACTTCACATCCCAGCTTTTATTAACTTGTTTATTTGTGTATTTCTTCTCTCCCTCTCTGAAGTTGGGGGCAGGGGTACAGGGATGAGGAATGTAATACCTGGATTAAAACCCACCATCCTGTTCTTGCAAAGCAGGGATAAATACTGTGTCTCAAATCCTGCTGATTTTATATGTACTATAAAGAAATAGATGGACATGACACCCATAAGCATTTTTTAGGGCAAGATGTACACTTTTAACCATTATTACCTGCCAACCAACTCCACGGCTGAGAATAGAAGGTGGTAAAGGAGTTGCACTTGCATACCTTGACACTGCAATGAAAGTACCAGTTGACTGCATCGATAACAAATTATTTGTAAGCAACTAACAAACGCTGAAAAGACCAAATAATATTTTTTTAATCAGTAAAGATTAAATAATAATTTATTATGCATCTGACAAACTATTAGATAACAACTTATTGTGCATTTGCAGCACATATTACAATACCCACATTGGAGCATGTCCCAGCTAGCCCAACAAGCTGTAGTTACTTGCAAGCCAGAGGAAACCTAATGTGTATTTTTCTGTTGAAAATGTGGGAAATCTAAAGGGTGAGGGTGAATGTCATGTAGAACAATTGTTTCCTTTTTATCAACTTAATGATGTAACATAGGCAAGGGAACCAGGAAAATAATTATAAAAAAAACTTCTGCTCCATCTAGAAAGAAGGGAATGCTCACTTTACACTTGATGAAAGAGCCACATTGCCAATGTTTGAGAGAATCTTAAACTTTTCATGATATTGTCTATGTGGCTTTGTTATTTATTGTTGAAAAGAACATTTTCTCCTTTCTAAAATGAATGCAAAATGAACTTAAAAATGATAGGGAGATAGAAGAGTTCCAACCAAAATAAAAAGCAGGAGATAAATTCAAATTCTCAAGACACCACATGATTATAATCATTGTTGAGAAAAGTAGACCTCGACAAGGGCCACAAATGAAGCCATCATCATGGCAAATGCTTCTCCTGCATCAAATGTAGGTGCTCCCCACTGGAATGGGTATGGAACTCTTATCCTGCATTTGTAAACCACATAAATCACATCCAAACAACAATTTGTACACATTTATATGAATTTATTGCTATAGCTGCCACCACATGATTATTGTGTAAACTAAAACATCAATAATTTATACTGCCTAAGCATTGGATAAACAAAGCATTTCTTTTTAACTTTTATAGATCTAGCAATAAAATGTGCACACAATTTTCCATGATAAAGCAACAACTAAAATGGACAAGGACTAAAGAGGACCAAAAGCTTGCCAAGAATACATGAAACACTAGTAATGTCAAGAGAAATGTCCATGTAGATCATGGTTTTTAAAACCGAACCGGTCAGGGGTCTGGTTACTGGGTCGAACAGTCCGACCGTTTCGAACCAAACGCTTGGCCCGTTCTGACAAAAAATAAAAAAGTTCAAAAAAATAAAAAACAGTCAAAACCGTTTGAACGGTTAACTGCCCGGTTCAGTGGTTCACTGACCAAAATCAACGGTTTTGGGGGGAAAACGGACCGGTTCCCACTTTTTACGGTCCGACCATCCGGTCCGGTCCGGTTTTGAAAACCATGATGTAGATAGACATACATACATGGAACACTTCTACCTTAATAACATTGAAGAAGCTGATTCTGAGAATCACTTCGGCAATTATTGTGAAATAGAAGCAGAGTTTTTCTCACTGATACAATACATAACCACTTTTTCAAAAAATTATACCATGTGGTTTCGATATGCAAACTGCATAAATAAACCAAGTAGCAATCCAAAATAACGCTCCCATCCTGTTATGATTAATCAATAGTTGTTACATTATTTACTAACATATGCTATGGTGCATACAGTTTCAAGTATACCACTAGTTGATGACAAGGAATTACAAACAAAGCTAACCAGTTATCTTAATCCAAGCCCAGAGAAGTAGCATCCAGTTTTCATGGCATGCAAACACTATACAGGAAAACTAAATATAATGACTACAAAATGGTGATATTACTGAAAGTCTTACCATGGAGCAGATTCCACAAGCCCTGAACGATCAGTGCGACAACTAGATTGAGTCTTTGGTGGTGCATTCTTATAGGCCCCACCTACAGTGAGGAGGTGAGCGTACACCCACACAATTATAACTGAGAAAATAACAGCAAAGCGATCGAAAACATGCCTCGTGCGAATCACATGGGGTATATACTGCAAACAAGCATTGAACATTAATGCTATTTATGTAAAAGAATCCTCCAGGGAGAAAATGAAGCATTAGTAATCAGTTTGAACTTTCCACCAAATAAGTAAAACTGGCGAGTTGCTACATGATACGACTACAATTGCTACAAGTTTCTAATAAGGAAAATCCAAGGATAATACCTGTGAGAATACTACTAGCAGGATGAGTTGTGGCAGACCAATCTCCACACATTTAGCAACCTAAAGATCAAGGAAATAATGATCATTAAAGGTCATTTCGTATCGATGAAGGTGAGCTTAAAAATAGTAATTTAGAAACATCATAAGCTAAGGTGAAACATCATTTTTCTGGAAAGAGTGAAAATATAAGACATGGTATGAACATTGGCATGAAAGGAATCATTTTTAAGTCTCCTTTATTCCAGTTCTAAAGCTCTTCCAGAATGCTTACCCCAGGAAAACCAAGCTCGTAGAGACCAAATCCAGCTAAAGCTACCAAGGGTACAGCTGAAAGTGGACTTATGAACCTGGGCAAACAAAATAAGACAATTATGAGATTAATAAACATAAATTGCAGAAGCTCTAATGGAATTTTGCAGTGACAAGCAAGTATTTGAAATTCAGTTGTTTTATGCCAATCTTTTGGAGACAAAATTTAGTTGACTACAGAAGATATTGGATGAGTCGGTGCACAAATTGTCATGAAAAGACATGGGACCCATGCTGACTTGGAGCAACTTCTTCAGTGCAATGCACCACTAAACCAAAAGGAATTGTGGTTTGAATGATAAATATACACCTTCAAGTTCAGTGCCTTGCACTATTAACACATAAAAGGCCCAATTAAGTCATATGGTCAGCATTAAAACAACATTTATATCTTCTAAATTCTAATACCCTAGAGTAACCTTGTGATATTACGCCAAAGACCACTGAAACCAATAACAATCTGAAGTGTTGATGCAACAATAAGGGCCCCTTGGATTCCCCTCATGATCCGCTCAAATTTCTGCAGCAGCATTGGAAGACAGATCCCATGGTTAGAACAAAATATACATAAATGTTGACAGTTTGACATACTAAAGTGGTAGTGGAATCATAATACCTCATGGGGGTCCACAATACCACTATATCGACCTGCCAAAATTATTGAAATGGTCGGTACCACAAAGGTATAAGATCCCCCAATGACAGCAGGTAATCGGGTCCCAAACAATGTTTGGGCAAGTGTGTTCAAACCAGCAACAAAAAGCAGTGTCTGAATCACCTTTGCTTTCTCCTCCTAAGAACAACAATAGTGCAGATAGCAAAGATTAGAAAAACCTGGAGAAAACACCAAGAAAATTATTTTGTAGATATGTATGCGTGAGCTTACATTTCCTCCACCCATCTGCGGAACAAGAGCAGTGGGAATGATAACTGTTGTGCCCAGCATAACAAGGTAATGTTGGAAACCAAGGAGGATGGCTTCGGCTGTATTAGAATACTAAAGAATGTAAATAATAGAAAAAAAGGTTCTCCAGAACTAAAACTAACACAAGAGTAGCAGAATTCAGCTCCTCCCCCCCCCCAAAAAAAAAAAAAAAAAATCCGAATCAATGTAAATCCTATAAACATAAGAAAATTCATCGAAATGAAACAAATACAATATGTGATTCCAACACAGAACAAGAAGAAGTAAACCAGGAAAAGGCAAAGGAGCCACTAAACTTTACAGATAGCCAACAATAGTAAGTAAAGAGACCAAAATAATCAACCATAAATGGAAAATACATCAGGTACCAATCCAACTATAAACAAAAGTTACAAAACATGACAAAAGAAAAGCAGATATGAGTCTCAGGCTAGCAGCAACAATATACATTACCAAAGAAAACAAAAATGAAAAAGATACCAGTATCATACAGTGCGGAAAAAAAAAATAGAAGTACAAGATTAGTAGAAGTTTAAGCAAAAAAGAAGAAAATAACAACATAACTACACAAGGGGGGAGAGACTCACGCCACGGAGGCGGACTTGTGATACAGTAAGAAATATTCGGCAGCTGATCCTTCACCGGATGTGGATGCAACTCATCCTGTTTCGGCGGCGGCGCCGCTCCTCCACCACCACCTCCAGCCATGATTTCTCCTCCTCCCTTTCTTCTTCTCTTCCTCTAGAAATAACGAGCAATCAACCTCCACACACTACAAAAGCTAAATATCAAGACAACCCAAAGCCCAAATCTCTCAGAGGCCAACAGAGAAAGGCAAATAGATAGCACCCATAAATCTCATTCTCTTGTCAGTTACCACTCCTACATAAACCAACTTAAAGCTAAAAGTTTACCAGAGTAGAGAGAAGGAAAGACTGAAATGCAAACAGAAACTCAGACACCTAAAGAAGAAAACAAAGGAACCGGAGAACAATCTCGAGGAAAAATATCAAATGGCAGGCATTGGAGTTAAAAACCCCTGCAACAACACCGCCTTGAAGTTCACCGAAAAAAGAAGAGAGGAAAAGATGCAAAAAAGGTTTTACAGCCCAAAACCTACTCCAGAAACCGAGAGAATAGAGTGAGAAAAGGCGAGAGAAATGACCAAAAGCGAGAAAGAAACCAAAATACCTCCCTTCAACCTAAGGAATTTCTAATTATAATCATTAAAAAATGAACTAATGATTAAGTTTTAATTTCCTTTGCTTTCACTGTGCATAAAGATAATCTTACAATTCATAAGCTCGTATTTTTTATTTTCTCAAAAATAAATACTCGGAACTGATACATTAAAATAAAACAAATGAAAAAAGAAAAGATGTAAGAGCTCTCTTTGTTCTGTTTCACACCGAGACAGAGAGGATAAAGGGTAGTTTTCACACTCCTTTCAAGTGCAATCAAGATTTTGATTTTTGAAGAAAAATATTAAAAAAAAACGACAACCCGACCGACACTTTTTTCTTCCCTCCCTCCTCGCTGTCTCCTAACTATTCTGTTAGACTCAATTTACTGTTGCAGAGTTGGTTGTAAGTAACAAATAAAGAGCAGCTGAGCTCTGAACCTCTGAGTAGGAAATCCCGTTTGTCAATAATACTACTAATAATAAAATAGTCATTAAATAACGAGTAATGTTTCAAAAATGGTAAAAAAAAAGCTTTTTTTTCGTATAGAATTAAAATTTTTATATTACAAATTTACAGGAGAGAGCCCAACAACAACAAAGCAGAACAATAGACAAACAGAAACCTGCTTGGTAGAACATTTTAGGGGGTATGCGAGATGGGATTAACTGAACGTACGAGCTGTTTAGCATTCTGTGGAACCAATGACAATGCCCCACGTCATTGATAAATACATGGGCCCCGGTTATTTAATCCGAAATTATACCCTAAGGGCTTTGATCAACGGTTCGAAATAAAATATCAATGTTTTCATCCCATTGTTAGACTTAGACTCCCATGATCGAACCGATTGAACCGTCTCCTAATCTCTTTTTATGGGTTCAGCTTTTCTAAACTCTACAAATTGACAGAAAAAAAAAAAATCATTTGGTGAAAATCCATTTGCCCCAAGCGATTAAACCGTTGATCTGTTCAACCTCCTAATTGGGTCGTGGTTTACACACTGCATGTGTAGCAAAGTTTTTAGAGGACATAAGTGTGTGCTCAGTTGTCATACTGAGATGGTCTTGGTAACTTCTTAAAATCTACTTCTTTCAAAGAGTTGGAGGCACCTTGTTTGGTTCAATTTTTAATTTTTAAAACACCAATAAATACCGTCTAATTGGTTACCACTTTTATGACATCTTTCCACTGATTATAGATTTTTTTAGTATCATGTATTCACATCTGCACCCCACACGGTGCGCCCCAAAAACGCTTCGCAACCAATCCCGGCTGTGTATTGGGAATATCTCCTAATGACAAGTTTGGAAGATGTTTCCAATGCACATTGAGATGTGTTGTGAGATGTTTTTGGGGCACGCTAAGTGAACTCTATGTATTATTGGTAATTATAGTTGAACCCCAACATGTATAAAAAGAAGTTAATGAAGACTAAAGGTGGCGTTTCATAAATTTGAAGTCTGATGTTTGAAAAGTTAAAAAGTTATTATTTAGGTTTAAAAATCTGAAAAGAAGTAGAAATGGTTCTATGCTTTATAGAGGTTATGAAAAAGATAAGATCATTTGAGTTTGAGCAATTCTCCAACATCTGAAATTGTGAAGTTTACTATTTTACCTTTAGAAATAGACTATTTGATAATATTATAAATAATAAAAGGACTATTAAATAAAAATAGTATTTTATTAATAAATAAATATCATTGTTATTTTTATGAAATAAATAATTATTTTATTATTTATTTATATTACAATGATATCATTAATAATTTTATGATAATAATAATTATTTAATAGTAACATATTTATTTATTATTAAATAATAATATTACTATTATTATTTTTTAAAATAAATATTATTACTAATATTATCATTTATTTAAATAAATAAATAATATTAAATAAATTATTATTATCATTGTTAAATAGATGACAATGATAAGGGCACTAATGTCATTTTATCATGTCTAAAATGAGTTTGATTCTGATAAGACATAAAACTAGGTCTTACCAAATTCAAATATGAATTTGTGGCATTTGAAAAACAAAGATTTTAGATCTTAGATGTCTGAAAAGTGTTATCAGACGCCACCAAATTAAAATGCACTTCATCTGATTATGTCAAAGTTAGGGGTGAACACGTTACTTGAGACCAGTATATAGTGAGATGACCCTGAATAGATTACTTTTAAGCTCAAAAAGAATATCTTTCAGTTCTCTACCTACAGGCTTAAAAAAATTGCCTCAATACAAAACAAAAAAAAACACTTATATGAGAAAAAATGAAAACATTGAATTATTAATATTATGTTAATTGTGGAAACCAGCAAAGCAATTGGTGGTGGGACATATGATAGGGGTGACATTGATTGTGGGATTGAATATGTGGTCATACTACTAGTCCCTGTTTGGTATCTGCTTGCTATACATGGCTCCCATGCTATCTACAAACCCGCTGTACATGATGATGCAATGCAATCAGTATATACACATCTATTATATCGCGTGCTGAGTATGATTGCATGTGCAAAAGCTGGATTGCTTACGTGGCAAATGAAAACCACTTGTCCAACTAGATTAGTCTTAAGTCTCGCGCATATATAGGGGTGCCCTATGCTCAGTACCATTAGCATGAATACCGATCAGGACCAAGACTAGCCACTTATTTTTGCACGCAAAAGCCTAGAGTCTAGCCCTCCAGCCAGTACTCCCTAATATTAATAGAGATTGGATCTGTTATTCACACATGTCTCTTCACACGCATATCCTCTTATGAATGGAATATCGTACTAATAAGTTATTATTCATAAGAGATGTTCTCAATGCATGATGGATGTACTTGTGAGGCGCCCATGTGTGAGGAACATATCTTATTCTATATTAATATATACATGGCACCTCACACCCATCTTACAGATGCATCCCACCATACATTAAGAACATCTCCCATAGGGGAGATGAGCCTATGAGGTCATTGTGAGAAGTGCTACGTGAGGAACATATCCCAATTCATGAGTGTATGGGATGGGACCTACACCTACCTGGAATTAGGGTGCCAAAGCCAAACTAGGGTTGGTTACAACTTTATAACAAATTAAAGTAACGATAGCATTTGTACCTGTGGGCAAGGTTCAAAGTATCGATACGATACGAGTGAGTTTCGGTCATGTCATATCGGTACTTAGAAACGACCAAAACACTTTTTTTTTTAGTTTTTTTTTTTCAAACTTTGGTTTTTTAGAAAGATTATAAGGTGTTTTTTATTATTAAAAGAATGGGGTCCGAAACCCCTGGAAACAGGCATTTTGGACGATATCATTTATAAAAATACTATACAATACGTCCGATAAGAAACGTATCGTATCATGCCTGTGGAGTTCGATTCAGGAGATCAAATTAGACTTAAACATAATTAATTTCCATTTAGTTATGTAGAAGAGAAAGATTAATGTCATTGGGACATACATCAATATAACCTTTTGAAGACCTTTCCAATATTGTTTTATTTATTTATTTATTTATGTTATAAAACAGAATTAGATTTAACTACTTGTGGCTAAAGGATATCAACCAACTTTCTAATTTGAATTAAGAAACAACATGAATTTAGTACTAGCTAGGCTGGGACCATTTCTTTCAATATAGATTTTTACTATGAATTAAAATTTAACACCTTCGGTGACGCTAGACCACGGTCCACACTAACATTGCATATGGGTAATTAATCTATGTTATTAGAATCGACAATAATCTGGTTTAATGTATTGCTTATCTTAGCTAGAATAAAGTTCTTTTATAATCGTGATATTTAATTAGGACAAATTAATTACATATATATATATATATAGATAAATAGATACTAAAAAATATTTTTGAACACAAACAATCAATGATAAAGGGATCGATGTAAATTCGATAAAGATCACTAACCAACCAACCAACTAGCTAGTGATTTATCACCACCACTGAATGCAAACATTTCAAGAGATTATAGCCTTTTGATTTTTTGGTCAGATTATAACAATAGTTCTGATGATAAGGATTGCCATACAAGGGTTATAGCTAGAGTGCCTCTAAGTCAAATTAAAAACAAAGCGTCCACTCCATTTGAAACCGTATGCAATTTCCCTTTCCTTTCCTTCTCTACATTTATTACACAAGTTTAATTAAGTTGTTCGTCCTTGTTTTACTCTTTTTGAGATACTGAGATGGTGCAATAATTGACAACGCTCCAATGCATCCACTGGTTGGTGGCAAATTTGTCCACGGTATTTGGTTGTTAAGCCATTGAATGTCACACATTACCTAACAGCTGTCGGCACAATTCCATGTATAGTGGTGCCATTTGTCCTCCTCTACTCGTTTTTTTTTTTTGTATTGTTTTTTCTCTTTTCAGCTTATAAGGAAATTATCATTCACAAAATACGTACTCACGATACAAAACAAGTTGCTACAATCAACAGAAAAGGTCAAGAAAGATAAAGTGACAAGTGGATATTGAAACGTTGATGAAACAAAAAATAATTAATAACCACTGAACACTGGAAGGAGAGTAAATTAACGCGCAGGAAGGTTTATTATATGCCCTTAGCGTTAACATTTATTTATTATTATTATTATTATTTAATTAATTTTAATTGTTCTATTTTTAAAGCCAACATATTAGAGGAGAAAAATATGTAAAAATCTGTGTGCATTTGGATGAATTATAAAAAGGGTGAAGGTCAGAATTGACAAGGACATAGATCCACAGTCATCCGATGAATTCTGAAAAGAAAAGTTGGTGGTCAAATAAGCATAAAATCCACAGTTACTATCATTATGTATGGTATTATGAAACAGAGTTTAGTTTATTATTATTTTTTTCTCTTCCTATTTATGGAATTTGAGACCTTTTCTTTTTCATCTACAACTATTACAATTGATCTCCTCATTCTTTTTTTGTGTCCCCACTCTTTATTTCTCACCCAAGGCTTTGTATATCAAACCTAGTTTTTAATTCTTTCT